AAATATACAATTAAAACCTATAACAATACACATTCACAAAAATAAAAGGGAAAAAATCCAGAAGGCCGATGGTTCAAGGCAGCAATGCCGGGCCACTAAGGGACTAGCCAACCCCACACTCGATGATCCCTCTCCTCGCCCCAGAGCCAGGTCTTCAGATCCCTCTGAAAGGCCAGGAGTGAGGGGGCCAATCTCACCTCCAGGGGCAAGATATTCCAAAAGGCGGGGGCTACAGCAGAGAAGGCCCGTCTTCTGGGCCCCGCTAGTCGGAGTTCTTTTGCCAAAGGGATCTGGAGCATGCCCTCTCTGTGTGATCAGGTGGGACGGGATGAACTCATGAGGGAGAGGCGGTCCCTCAGGTAACCACATTAACATTAGCCACAGGATCACTAATTCCATAATTAAGCTAGAGTCAGGGACTCAACATATTACTCCTACACAAATCAACAGGATTGGGGAAAGAGCAGACAATGACTATTCCTTCCTGAAATCAAGTTTTGGGCTTCTTGTGTTGCTTATTTGCAACATCATCATCACTTTAATTCACCTCAAAGACGCCATCTGTATATAGCTGCCCTATTAACTCATTTGGGATAGATGGGCAGCATATAAATTTAATAATAAATAAAATAAATAAAAATAAAAATAAAATCTGACCATAATGAAATTCCCAAAAAATCATAGCAATTGAAATCAGTAGTCATTAACCTTTTCTGATCTGAGACCCATCTTAATCATGGTTTTATAATACTGTATCATTTACTGCTTTTATCATGGTGAGGAGTCAATCAGGTGTTGCTAAGTGTTTGCTTTTGGTTTAACATGTTTGATGAACTCCATCAACTGTAATTTGTGGTTTAACACGTGTGCAAACCACCCACTGTGGTGCAGTCAACAAATTATGACATGGTACATGTGAGCTTTCTCAAAGAGAAATCTGCAAAGAGGATTCAGGCTGAAATATCAGTGCACACCTATTTGTTTTAGCTCTGTGCCTGCTGACTACGGGGAGAAAAAAAAGAAAATCCAAGGCAAAGAAAGCTTTTCCAGCTTCTCTCCAGCTTTGAGCTGAAAGATGCCAGAAGAGTGAATGGTTTTTCTCTGACTTCAGGTGATGCATTTTTAATATGTAACATAAAAGCTTGTCATCCTTGACAAGCTCTCACCCCTGAGCAGTAATAACCTAACCTATTTGTCATGACCACTGACACACAAAATGTAATTTTTTATTTAATTAATTTTAATTAATAAAAACAAAATAAAAAATTAATTTAATTTAATTTAATTTAATTAATAAAACAAATTTTAAACATAAAACAATTATGTTACACTATTCAAAATCTCTCCTAGGTCAAGTCAGATTGCAATCCACTAAAGCAGAGGTTGACAACCTTCTTCTGCATAGGGGTCAGAGCCCATATCTGTAAGTAGATGGCGAGCCATTCTCTCCTCTCTCAGGTGAATACACTGGCACTTGGGAGGATTCTTCAGGGCAAACCATAGAGACACATTTCTTTCTTAGAGGAAAAAAAAGGAGGCGTGGCCAAAGCGGGAAATGAGGGTATGCTCTAGGGGTACCTCTTGTGGTTAGGGAAAGAAATGCTTATGGAGGGAGGAAGAAGAGTCCTCAATATCCAAAGGTACTATATAAACATACATACATACGTACATACGTACATATATATGGGCTTGTAACACCACCCAAATTGTTACAATTTATTAAAAATAGTGCAGTTCTGTATCAGGCCTGAGATAGCATTACAAACTTTTTTAGGACCACCAGGGGGTTGGGTGGATATGATCTTTCTTTTTGGGACTACAGGCTGGAGGATTTCAGGTGTCAGGCATTAAAGGGTTTTCATTCATCAGTCAAAATCAATCTAAATAAGCAATTAAAAAGTAAGTGCTAGGAGAAAGAAACCAAGCATGAATAAGGCAAAAGTAATTCTGAAACTGCATTTCCAGCTCATTAGCTAAATTCAACCACTCTGGTTTAGAACATGTGTGCATCATCCTACAACTACATCCCACTTCTTCACACTCATCCCTCCCACCCCATTACTGCTTTGTGCCTCTGCTCCATCCTCTTTCTCTTCACCCCTCTAATTACCAAATCTTTAGACACTGGTATTATGTCCAAAGTGGGCCAAAAGATTAGGCTGTTCTCTTCTCTCCTCCTTTAGCACAGCTGCAAGGAGAAAATCAGGCTGGCTTTCACTTCCACCTTCCACTCAGAGTTCTTTGTTTAGAAATATCACCTGTAAGGTAAATGTTCATAAACCGTCTGGGCTTGTAATCCTCTCTTACTAAAAATTATAGTTTTTATAGCTCAGGCAGGAGCAACTCCAATTAATTTAAAAGCAGATGCTTTTGATTTCCCTTCTTATGATCATATTAGGACCCTGAGGCTCATAGTGCTCCTGTTCATGCAAGGTTAGAGGAAAAAAGTGAATTTTGGCTTTATTAAAAAAAAAAAAAAAGAGCACAATTTCAATAGTAAAAAGCCAAGTTATTCAGAAGATTAAATTTAATTTCTAGCACAAAACTGTTATGAAAAAAGACCACTGACATCAGTCTTACCCCTCTATTGGCAGCAATACAACATTCAGCTATTCTCAGCCACAGACGAGGATTTGAATGATAAACCTGGACAGCTTCTATCAGGCATTCAAAAGCAGCTAGTGGCCTCCCAATGTGTAAAAGCTGAATGCCACAGTTATATAGCAACTCATAACGCTTGTTGGTCAGTAACGTGCACATTGGTCGTCCTGAGAACTTTTTACCTGTGATTAAAAATTGGATATTAACTATGCAGTTTAAGAGGATAGCCACAAATGGATATTATTGGACAAGGACCAGTTAAATTATCCTGTAACCAGAGGAGCTAACACATATTAGTAATTTATAATCACTACAATTCAATCACTTGCTTTGTGTTGGTTGCTTTATTTGGGCTGTCATTAGCTTTTTTATAGATTAAAAATGTAGGATGAGAAATGGAGCTCAAAATCCTGGCTCCTATAAGTCTCTTTCTTATAAAAAATAAAAATTTCTCATCTGAGCAGAAACTGCCCAAATATTATCAGGTATGATAAACAGGGCTGTTGGTTATGGCACAATTTCACCAAGGATCTCGTGTCTCTGAACTTTCAGAGTGCTTCTCCTATCTAGGATGAGTTGTAGGCACTTGACTGGTGTGAACAGATCAGTGAAGTCAAGAATACATAATATATACATTCTTATTGTACAAACATAAATGTATATAATACATACTATTATTATTATTATTATATATACATTATTCATACAGAGAATGTCCTATTATCTTCCTCTATTTCCCTTTGTGTGTTCTTTCAGATTATATAAACTTATCTCACAAATTCTAATCCATACATAGACTCTTATTCTAAAATTCATAATTTAAATCAAGAAGAAACGTGTCACTACTATACGTTGTCTGTATTTAAGCCTGAGGTTTATGATTATTGTCCTTCCCAATTTACTCATTAGTAAATATTTCTGCAGCTAATGAAGTCAATTCAACAAATGATACTCTTGAGCACTTGAGATTTACCTATCAATAGTGGTTATCTATGTATCATTTCTAGTATTACTCTAACTGCATTTGAAGACATTTAATGAATTCCACTTTTAATATATTCCACTATAATTCTACTTTTTATATTTCACTCCTTAGTTGCAAACAGGACTAGAAAAACAATTCTAAGATGTCATATGCATATTTTAAAAAAACCCCAAAACAAATCAGTTTCAAAAATTAGGAAAGTCAGCAGTTCTGTATTTATTTTATATCCTTTAATCTATTCATCAGTCCTTACAGTGCATTTATTACTTGCTTACTTTACCTGGATCTGTGCCACCTGTCCCAAGCTGTGCACAGGCATTGTCATTTTCTTGCAAAGCCTTTTTAAAATAGAAAATTCCTAAGTTGTGTTTCCCCATAGCAAAATGGATGCAACCAAGATTATTCCAGAACATACACCGTAAACATTCTCCTAAGAAAAAGCAAACAGAAATCAAATGATGGGCTTTCTAAGGGAGATGAGCAGCATTTGATTTCCTATACATTTATTTTTAACTACAGAGATTAAACATTTAATGTCTAATTTCCTTTTTTTCACATTCATTTGGTCTATTACAAACTAGCAGTCACAGCTTTGACATTACGTTCAGCAATACTGAGCCCTGCTTTCTTTGACCACTGAACGTCCCCCATTATTCTTTCTTCAAATTGCAGTCCAAATGTTCTCCATGTTTCCTTCAAAAGCATTTGAAGAAGGACAAGAATTTCTTCCAAGGAGAAAACTTTCAAGTTCAACTAAATTTATATTGACTCAGTGAAACTCTTTAATTAGTCTCAACAGATAATGCAACAGCAATGTAAGTTGCATAATTTAATGTGAATGCATTAAAATGAACAATGAAGGGAAAATTGTTACAGGCAAAAACAAGGGCTTGTGTATTCAGATAATGAGCTTAACCAGACATTATATGGCTTTAAACTTTAAAAAATAGTTGGAGCTGTGGATTTAACCACTGTGAGACTTCTAAGGCTATAACCCTTTTCATATTTACTGCATTTACAGAGACTCAATTAAAGATTTATTTGATTGCTTAGTAAAACAATGGAAGTGGTCTATTAAATGACACTTCTTCTAGATAGAACATTTGGAATTTATAAGATGTTCAACAGTAAAATGATCTTATATATTGCTAGAGGAAATAAAGACATTTCCAAGGAGGACAGAAAATATGAAACTCAGCTAGAGATACCTTCATCCATACAATGTTTTATACCAAATCAGGGAAATAAAAATCAAAGTATAAAAGTGAATTGTACCTGTCTTCATAAATCCCGGATGCTCAGCAATATTTGAGCTGTTCAGGAGCTTTACAGCTTTCCGGTAATTGCCTCTTAAATACTCAAAGTTGCTTTTCAGAAAAAGAGAAGGAGCAGACTGTGAAGTGCATAAAAACAATAGTTACTGGTAGTTTGAAGGAACAGAGTTGGAAGCTTGAATTAACAACATGAGAAAAGCAAAAGCTGCAGAAATTACTAACCATTTACTGCCAGAAAGGTACCACTAAAATGTACAATTTATAGTGGTCTGAAGAGTTCTGAAAGGAATTCATTTTAATATAAAGAGGCTGCTTAAGTAGAAGTATTGAAGGAAAAAATTTCATTCAGAATTATAAGGAAGGAAACGAAATGCAAGTTAATAAAAACACTAGAAGAATAATACTTAGGGTGCTACAATATTCTTCTAAAGGGATTCTAGTTCAAAGGGGTCTTTCAGAATAGTTTTTATTTCAGTATTAAAAACAGCTGTGTTTTAAAGTTTGAAACACTATGGTCCAAAACAGTCTGCAAACCTAAGTAAGCAAGAATTGCTTAAATGATTAATCAGGAATCTGGTTGTACCTTTTCCAACTAAACAACTGTATTAAAAAATAATTGTTAGTTAATTGGAAAAGGTGCAACCAGACTCCTGATTTTTTTGCCATCATAAGCTAATAGGGCTCTCCTCCTACAATGTCTTAAATGATTTTCCATGGCTAAAACAAATAGCAGATTTTTAGATATGATAAATATGAAAAGTAGAATAATAATCCAAAAACTGGAAGGGAGTTAAGGAAAACAATTAACCACTTTAATCCTTAATTGTAGAGGTATTTCATAATAGGATGTATCCAATGGCTGCATCAGTTTATATGCTTATGGAACAACATCTGCCAACATAATGGATCTCTCCTCACCTCACATCAGATCTGTAGGGGAATCTGCCAAAACAAATTAAGATCTATATAGTAGACAGAAGAAGAATGAGGGAGAGTTCTACTGTCTGAGCAAAAATATGTAATATTAGATAGTTCAGGTCCTAGAAATGACAAATATGTTATTCATTATAGTCATTAAGTACTTACATTTCCAGCTGTATTCATAACTGACTTGATTTCCCTCTTGCATGCTTTCAGAGATTTCATTTGAATATAAGCTCGAACCTTATACTGGTAAAAATGAATGTAAAACTTCATTATGCTAAGAAAAAAATGATGTCACTATTCAGAAATTATACTGGTCCTGGTATCAAAATTAGATGCAATTATTACAATTTGGACAAGTAATATGGTATACTGGTTAAACTTTAAAATAATTCTAAAAGTAAGAACAAATATGACAGTGTGGAACAATTGGTTTCAAGAGCTGATGTCAAACACAATCCTGGTAATTAAAAGAGCATATTAGCACTTTTATGGCCAACTGATAATCCATACTATTCCTTTTAATTATTTCCCCTGGGAATACTGTAGAGCAAAACAACATATAAAAAGTTGAGACTGTGCTTCAAAGCGCAAGTTAGAATTTCTAATAGTGGATACTTATTTTATCCATGGATTACTTTTGGGTAAAGGATTATGTAGAGAAAACTCTTGGGAACTGGACTGTGCACACAGTGACCATCACAGTCACAACAGCTGAAAGGAATGAATAAGTGGCTGCTGAAAACTGTACACAGCCCAGTTTAGACATTGGTTATTTCCAAAATAATACACAGGGAGATCTATAAAAAGAAACCCATACTTAGCTAATATATACCAACTAACTCTGGGTCAGTCTGAAAATGGACAACATTTCTAAGAGAAATATTTAAGCAGAACCCAGCATTTATCTTACCTGATGTATTTTTGATTTAGCAGCTTCTGTTAGAGTACCACTTTCAGACTTGTTGTTGGCTTCCTTGCTAGCATTATTACCTGTCTGATTACAAATCAAGAAATGAAATAGTTGTCAGTTTTTGAAACCAATGAGTATTTGATAAAGTAAACATATTGTGTAATTCCTGAAATTGAACTTCTAATGATGATTTATCTCTTCTTTTTCCATAACTAAAGTAACAGGTAATTACTAGGGGAAAAAACTTTTTTCCTATTGGGTAAACACAGCATATTTCAAATTAATCTTACTTGGAAGCTCAAAATATGGCATGTGTACAGTACTTCCCAAATATCTGACCAAGCATGAGTTAGAGCTGCTATTAAGGCCTACTTCATGGCAGTAAGGGAAGTGAAATGTCAGTATTTCTCTGCCCTTTTTGCATCTGTGGATAGCTGTCTGGTGACTTTATTTAGGGTTACCAGGGCCCTCTTGAGAAGGGTTGGCACAGAAGTCTACCTGCAAGGTTGTATGAGGAATATGTTGGACGTCTGTTGGGTAAAGTTGCTCAGATTCACTCTAAGTTGGATTCTAGGCTTGGTGCAGGTCTTATGGAGGTGGTTGAGGCTCAGTGTAGTTTGATTACCTGGGAGGAGTTTGATCCTGTTGGTCCTGATGAAGTGGACAGGATTCTCATGACTGTTAGCTTAGCCACCCGTATATTAGACCCATGTCCTTCCTGGTTGACAATGCCTCCCAGAAGGTGGCATATAGTCAGGGTTTAACAGTAGTAAATACTTTGAGAGACAGAGTTGTCCCATTATCTCTTAAGGAGGCAATAGTTTGCTTCCTCCTCAAGAAGCCATTGCTGGACACAATGGTGCTGGACAATTTCATCCAGTCTTCAACTTTCTCTTTTTAGGGAAGATTGTAAAGAAGGTGGTCATGCAGCAGTTCCAGAGAACTCTGGAGGAAATGAATTATCTGGACCCCTTTCAGTCAAGATTCAGGCCTCCATATGGGCTGAAACAGCATTGATTGCACCTGTAGATGACCTCTGGCAAAAGCAGGATGAGGATGGTGCATTCATCCTTGCTCTTCTTGACCTCTTGGCAGCTTTTGATACCATCAATCGTGGTATCCTTCTGGATCAGCTTTGGGGTTTGGGAGTGGGTGGTACTGTGTTGTGCTGGTTCTCCTGCCTTCCTCCAGAGCCAGTTCCAGTCAGTGTTGATGGGGGGAGAGGTCCAGCCCATGGCCCTTGCTTTGTGAGGCTTGGTTCTCTCTCTGCTCCTGTTTAACATCTACATGAAACTGCTGGGTGAGGTCATCTAATGGCAAGGGGTGAGATATCTTCAGTATGCTGATGATACCCAACTTTACATCTCCAACCCTGGCGGCCACCCAAGTGATGCTGTGGAGGTTCTTTCTCAGTGCCTGGAGGCTGTGGCAGTTTGGAAGGGGAGCAACAGGCTTCAACTGAACCCTATCAAGACAGAGTGGCTGTAGTTATTAGGGTCTTCCGTTTCTGGGGACTTTCCATCTTTAGTTCTGCATGGGGCTGCACTACCTAAACCAAACCAGTGCACAATTTGGGGGTCCTCCTGGACTCATGGCTCCTGTTAAAAGAGCAGGTGCCAGCTGTGGCCAGGAGGGCCTTTGCACAACTGCGTTCTGTGCCAACTGCTCCCATTCCTGGACCATGAGGCTCTGTTCACAGTCATTCATGCCTTGGACACCTTCCAAATGGGCTACTGCAATGTGTTTTACATGGGGCTATCCGTGAAGGGCATTCTGATTGCTACTTCTGGGCGCAATTCATTTATAGTGATCTATAAAACCCTTCATGCCATGGGACTGGGTTATTTGAGAGACCGCCTCTCTCCCATTTGGTCTAGCAGGAAGAGCACATTCCAGGTCCCATCTCTTAAGGAGTGCCACCTGGCAGGGCTCAGGAAGACAGCCTTTTCTGTCATGGTGCTCACCCTTTGGAACATCATTCCCCCAGAGGTTAGATTCCCCCAGAGGTTAGGTTGGCCTTTTAAAGGCATGGTTCTGTCACTGGGCCTGGGGATTCGTATATGTGCATGAGTCCATGCAATGGCTGTGCTGATTTGTGTTCTGGGTTTTTTTTTTTACTTCAGCTATAGATTATATGTGTGCTGCTGTTTTTTTACTGTTTAAGTTTTTATGACTTAAACAGACTTTTTTTTAAAGTCAAGAATTTGGATAGGCAGCCATATAAATTGAAATTATAAACAAAATACATAAAAATAAATACCTCAGTTTTCCCATTTTTGTTATTGCTGCCTTGCGAAACCATTTTTTCCAGGACAGCAAGCAGATGTAGGGCTTTCTCAGCTTGACAAGTCAGTAGGTATAAGTCAACTAATAGAAAACATACTGCCTGAGCAAACTTTTCCTCTAAAAAACAAAAAAAAATGTTCAATGTGTGGGATATATTTCTGGCAAATTACCCTGGCAAAGATTTAGGCTTCTCACACAAGTGTCATATAATTAACTATCTGCTCAAATGGCATCTTTATAATGATTGGACAACAAGTGCTTAGGACTCTTCTACATTACTGAACTTTTTATTAAACATACTGCATATTTATACTAAAGTAACTATTCCAGTTGAATTGCATAGGCTAATTGTAATAAACCACAATAACAGTTTCTGTAATCTCAGCAAAGGAGGAGGAAGAACAACAAGTCATATAAAATGAATGAATGAATGAATGAATGGACCTCTTTGGTTGTCCATAATCTTACCAAATGGTTCAATGAATTGATAAAGTTTCTCCCCAACTATTATTGCTTCAGTGTACTGCCGCAGATGATATAAAATAACAGCTTGATTATAATAGAGCATGCTGTTTTCAACATCATCTAAACCGTCCATTTCCTCAACAGCTGAATGAACCTGGGGGGTGTGGGGAGGGAGAAAAGGAAGGATATCCAAATATACCTTCATTGGCTCATTTATAAAGTGACAACAAAGCTGAATTACAAGAGACTGTACTACAAATTGATTCAAATATTGTAAATATAACTTAATAGTTAAAACATTGGTTAACCATCGATTTTGCTGAAAAGACATCTTTAAAAATAAGAATAGCTTGCATAGCTAAGAATGATTTTTGCCTCTGCTTAACTAACCGAAATACCATAATCATTATTTGTTAGGAAAAATAATCATTTACCAATAGAGTGAACTAAGGCCTAATTTCTTCCAACACAGTAGAATACTACTCAAGTATATTTTAAGATAAACAGACTTCAGAATCAATTTTGCCTATTAGGATTTATCACACAGAATAAAATTCATAGGCATTCATCAGATAGCCTCTGAATAGCACGTCAGGAAAAATAATTGTATTGTTTGGAAATTAGAAATCATTAATGATAACTCAGTAGTTATTCCCTTTAATAAAACCCTTTAAGTCCTGAAGAAATTTTAAGAAATTAATAGGCCAGAAATTATAGATAGGTTTCAATCTATGCATCCCATCCTATCCATGACTATTTGTTAAAGTTCCATGGATTTCAGGGAACAGATGTATATAGAGTGACAACCCTAGACAACATTAATTTTACATATTTATTTATTTTTGTGCCTTCAAGGCAGTCTTGACTCCTGGCAACTGCCTAGATGAATCACTGCAGTTTCATTGGAAGATTTTCAGAAGTGGTTTGCCATTGCCGCCTCCTTCCTAGGGCTTCGTGCCTAAGGGGGGACTAGAACTCACCATCTCTTATTTCTAGCCTGGTGACTTCAACAACTACACCACATTGGCTCTAATTATTATATATAGTCCATTCTGTTTATTCTGATTTGCTCAGCTATAGTCAGATAGCATAATAAACCACCAAACATTTTCCAACCATGAATAAAAATTTTGAGACTGGTAATTTTTAAATGGAAAATTGCCTTTCCTGTCTTTTTTGTTTAAAAGGAAAATGGAAGAGGAACACAAAACACCCTTCAATATTTAACTTATTATAAAAAGTGCGTTCCCTTTTGGAAATCACCAGATTTTTTTAAAAAAAGAAATGCAGGAGCTCAGAAGCATTGTGCCTAACACAAGAATTCCAACCCTAAAGATGAAAAAGTTACTAATTCAACAAACAAAGCAATACCTGGTTTTTCAGCTGATTAAGTGTTTGTTTCAAGTTATCTGTTGTAGTTTGATTATTTTTACAGAATTCTGCTACTGCCATGTTCAAAACTATTTTGTAATCATCTTTGTTTATTTCTTGCAAGCAGCTAAGCTGTTGCAGACAAATATCATAGTTTCCAGCCTGTAAAATCAACAACAAAAAATACAGGGCATAAGCAGATATATGTTAAAATCAATCAATAACCTGGAATGTTAAATGTCTTGCTATAATTAAGTATATACATTGCCTGCAATTAATTTTGTTTCAATGGCCTTTAAATCCATAGTGATGTCATGCATATTATACTTGCTCCATAGGAAAACAACAATTTACCTGCTTCCTCTCCAACTAGATTCAGGACAACAGAACAGTACTGCGATAAGAAATGTCAAAAGGAAAGCAGAAAAGCATCCTTTCCTTTCACATATAGAAATCCATAACACAAGAAACAAATTAATAAATAGAAGCCATATTTTGATTTTCCTATCAGCTCAACTAAGATATTTAGGCTGCAGAAAATGGGCTAAAGAATCTCTTACTTTAGAACACTACAGGAAGGGACCTATACCATGTCAAGAATTATCTTACCAAAAAGGCTTGTAGTGCACTGTTTGATAGCTCCTTCTCTTGATCAGTAATCCCAGAAGAAGTACCTGCTCCTTCATGTTTCTCTGTTCCCTGATCTATAATACAATGTAAATGTTAGAAACAATTTTTAAATCTAATTGAAATGTCAAGCCATTTATTTATCACTGTGACTTCTAATCAGTCATGATTCCTTCATTTTTCTTGGCACATTTTTGAAGAGGTTTGCCATTGCCTTCTTCTTAGGGCTGAGAAAGATTGAACGGCCAAAGGTCATTCAGCTAGCTTTGTATCTTAGTCAGGACTAAAACTCAGTCTCCCAGTTTCTAACTTAGTGCCTTTAATGACCACACTAAACTGGCTCTATAGTGAATTATTTTTAGCCTGCAAGGATTCTGAATTTGGTAAATCTAAACTATTCCTCTGTAATATTTTCAATTATATTCTGAGTTTGTAAACAGTTCAATATTTAAGTTATAGGTTGAACAAGTTATCCAAGGTCAATCTAAAAGTTATTGGGGCAGTGTACGTGGCATATAAGAACTGGGGCAGACAAAACGTACATCTGGTTAAATCTACTGGATGACTGGTAATAGCTCAGCATGGAGATTTTCATGTAAACAATTTGACTCCTCACACTCTAAATTATACTGCTGAAGCTAAGCAAGTTGACATAAACAAAGATAATATTATGTGGACAATTAACATCATTAAGTAATGGTATTCAAAAGAAATTTCTGGGCTCAGGTTTATTTATTCTAGGAATAAGTAACTCTGATTAGGTGACAGATTTCAGAGTTCTAAAAACATAGACCCTGCAAGCTGAGTTTTCTCACATCTGCCTTAAAACTCACAGGACAATAGGTTAATTGTTCTGATATTGCTTCTTTTCATTTTATCCTGCTTTGCAAGCTATGTTTGTGGGTAGTGGGGGTGGGGTAGGGCAAGGGTTTGTTAGGATGTTCAGCTTATGTCAAATTCTTTATTTGACATAAACTGAGTATTATTTTTAAAAAACCAATCTAGTTCAGCCTGTAAACATTCTGACTGATTTAGGGTCAATGGCGTCAGAAACCACGATGCACAATGTAAGGTAAAGTCAACAGTCTTTTTGTACTGCAGTTAGAGATTAGGAAGATACGAGGCATAAAGGTGGAATGAATCAAAAATATGTGTACTACATCAACTGATGTCAAGAAAAAAAATGTTCATATTTAACTATTTACATCCAGACAATTCACAGAAACTACCATGGAGAACTGGTGTCACAAAAAGCAACATGAGATACAAGAGTAATTTACTACTTGTTTGTACTCTATATATTAGCCTTCTATTTATGAAAAAGCTCCACTGCAATGAGAGATGTATGGAGAGACTCCCACTGCACTGTCTGAAAATGTATGTCACAGCAACCAAGATGAAGTCAAGGAAGTCAGGGTTCTTGCCAGTGGATAGTCTAGAAAATCAATGCCCACCACCACAGATTCCACAATGGAAGGCACGTGGGATAGGGAAACAATCTATATTACTTTATTAGGACTTCTTAAAAGCCTGTCACGAGAGGAAATCAGTCTCCCTTACAAAAGACCTCCATATCACACAGAAGGCAATGCTATTTAGATCCTGACCTAAAATCAATCATAGAAGGTTACCTAACCACATTTTTATATTTAACAAATGCTCGCACAACGCTCTTTTAGGGCAAAAAAAGGAAGCCACGTCTTTAGCCTTCTCCTGCATCTGTCCTCTTAAACAGGAGATAGATTCAATGGACGTGGAGCCCCTCTACCCGTCTCCACATTCTTCCCCTCTTCCAGTTAGGTTGCAAAATCGAAACAGATCACCTGAAGCCCTTTGGGCTTCCACTCAACGTGCGGAGAAATATATGGGGAGACACCCTCCAACCAATGGCGGCATAGAGCCCTCCAGTGAAGACCACCGGAGGAAGCGGGTAGCCTGCCTCGCCCTAAAAGAGACCGCTCTTTGTCCTCACCTCCGCCCTTGTCCGCTGCCATTGATGCTGCAGGAGCCGATCTATTGACATAGATAGAGACAAGGCTCCCGACGGGCGCGGCTGCCACCGGTGCCTCAACAGCTCAGCCTCAGAAGCGTCGGCTTGAAAAAGAAAAGGGATGGAGGAAGAGAAAACACACGCATCGGCACAAGCTCCCTCCACTTCCGATGGGATTCCACTTTTGTTTCCGGGTTAGGTGAGAGTAAAGGAAAACGCGAAGCCCAAGCGTCCTCTCGCTGCTCGCAGCGTAGAGACGTCACGCAGGGGGAAGACCGGACTGTTCCACGGCTAAGGGGCGGGGCCAGGGCAGAATGGGCGGGACGAGGAGGAAGAACTGTGGGTTCCCCCAGTGCCGATGCCGTTGTCCGGAATGAGCGTTGCTGATTAGGCCCCTGGATCTCTTGCCTGGTGGAATAATCAAGTAACCTCGGATAAAAACCGGGCATCGTCTCCACAAGCTGTGGTGATCGTCACGGCTGCTAGCATAGACTGGTAGTAAAACGTAATTAGCCCGTTCGTGGGGGATAAGCCTGTTCATGGCTAGCAATTGCGATGGCTTTGTATTAACACACTACATATTAGTGCGTCCCGCAGTGGCTGTACTCAGACAGCATGCTTAACGAGGATCTAATGGCTGCGCTTGCACAACATTTTAACCTTAGCTAGTTTTAATGCTGGTTAGCTTTTTGTGGCATAGCCTGTTGTATGAGCCCAGCCCATATGTTATGGTTCGGTGCAGTGTGAACCCAGATCAATTCAAAATCCAGGTAAGATATGTTGACACAGCCAGTGCCAGTTAGAGTGGAATCTGTATTCCTTCAAGTGGAGCTCAACTTCTGGTGGTTTTATTGGCACACATATGCAATTTCTTGGCAACAATATAGGAGTGATTTAACAGTGCCTTCTGGATTTTTGTTTGTTTTTTGGTTTGGTTTGTTGCATTTGTTTTATTTTGTAGTCTGATTTATAACCTGGGATTTCCTGGCAGTCCTTCTTCCAAATAGCAACAAGACTCGACTCTGCTTAGCTTTTTCAGATCAGCCAAAGTCAGCTAGGTGTTGTTGTTGTTGTTCAGTCGTTAAGTCGTGTCTGACTCTTCGTGACCCCATGAACCATATTGCG